AACAGTATGGGGTAAGATAAGAGTATACCCACAGATATAAACACAATATCATATTCACACGAAATAAAAAGAAAAAATAGAGGCACAACTCGATATTCAAAACAACTTTCAACGTTAAGTTCCACTAATTTGGGCTAACGTGTAACATTTCCAATTAATCATAACTTAATTATGTTTTGGACATCGCAGCATACTGTGATCCACCACGATTGCCCAACCATGCCACCTATAATCCAAAAGAAGAGGTATATGGTGAGGGAAGTGTCGTAACATTCAGCTGTAACGAGGGATACTCATTGTCCGGGAATATTTCAATAGAGTGCATGCCTTCCGGACACGCCAGTAGCTGGTCTGAAGAAACACAAGTTTGTGTAAACGGTAGATATAAGGAAAAATATATATGTTGTATTAGCTTATTCACGATGCCCATGTCAAGCAGCGTGCCTACTAGGCACGCAGTTTGAAACTCTGACAAACTGCGCGCATATTATAAAATGTGAGACAGGGAGGACACGACTCCCAAAAAGAGCCAAAATACGAAAAATACAAGGTTAGTCTCGTTCTAAAGATAGTACCATTCTGTGAAAGATGAACTTAATTTACTCATAGTACTCAATGTTTTTCCCGATGTAAACCTAGTTATCTCAATATAAGGGTCTTAAGTAACTTCTGTGTTCAAAATTTACAGTGTAAAGTTATATCTATGTCTTTTTATCGTCATTTGCCGTTTATTCAGCCATTTTGTCTGTGTATGCTAGAATATATAGGATCCCTCCGCCATCTGATTAAATCAGCAAAGTTTGTGTTCAAAACGATAATACGCCATAAACGTGATTTAAACATTTTTCTTGTCAAACTGCGCGCCTATATTCACATGTATTTCCCAAACTGCGTGCCTAATATTTCCAAACTGCTTGCCTATCCGAGTTTGTTTTGTATTATTAGAAAACATAAGCGCCATACAAGGCACATATGTGTCTAATAGTAGAACCCCATAATTGAAACACTATGAGAGTCCATCCACCAAGATGGTGATCTGAAAATAAAAGTTTTTTTCGTTCCCAACTTAATTGTCACTTCTATTATATATTTTGACTTTCAATATGAAAATCTCATAAAATCTGCCGATAAAGCAAAATTTCCAAAGCTACATGAAAAACACCTACACGTGCCTCTGTAGAAATTCTAATGATAATATGTAGTTTTAATAGTGTATGCGCACAGTTTGTAATTTCTGGCTAAAATAGGCGCGCAGTTTGTGATTTATTTCTTTTTAATCTCCTGATTATCTGTTTTATCTCGAAATATTTTGAATTATACATGATAAATGTGTAAGGAATTAAATATAAAACGAGTCTAAAGTATTTGTCATTTATGTTTAAAGTACTAGATCGATTTATGTACTATATACATTCCCGTTAAATCAGTGACGAAAATGCCATTAATCTGCTTATGTTTTAAAACTTAGATTCATTTGCACATAGTTTTTGCTAGTATTTGCAAGATTCGTATATTCGCCACAGAATGAACGCATTGAACAAGAAAACAATGCAGGATAAATGTCTTTAAATTACGTTTCAAAATACAGACTCCAACTTAAATGCTGCAATGTTCTTAGGCACGCAGTTTGTGATCGAAACAAACTGCGCGCCTAAGTAGGCGCGCAGCTTGACATGGGCACCGTGTTATTGTTCAGGATTCTTAACAGATCGGGAATTCAGTTAATTTTTCAGGGATGTCTTTACATATCTGCATTCATTGCATCACCTCTGCGAAATTGTGTATTTATTAATAGAGAGTGACATGTTATTTCAGAGACGTTTCCACTATGGACATGGATCGCTATCGGGGCTGCAGCAGTGGTCGTTGTCATGTCATGCTTGTTACTTGCTTGTTGTAAGAGTTTCAGAAGGAAGAGACATGAAATGGGACAAAATGACGTTGATTCACCAGCTGGTATTTAGTTTATGTATATCTGATTTACTCTTTATATTGATGCGTTTAACTATATCTTTTCAATCTTGCACATGCAAAGCCAAAAGAGTGAATACAAGAGTATTACAACACAAAGCACGCCGAGGTACCGGTTATGGTATTTTTCTACCTGTAAAGTATTTTCTTATTGAAGGGTCTATAATTTGTTGGATATTTTCAACTCAGCTATTCATTTCTAAATAATTTTTATATTCCAGCTGTTGGCTTAGTTCAAAACGTAGAGTTCATTCAGAGGAAGCCAGGTGAAATTCAAAGTTCCGTTGCTAGAAGAGAAGATACTGGAATATCGGGTGAACCATTGATTCAAATGAACCCGAAATCAACTCCAGAAACTTCTCAGAATCCGACTACAGGTAACAAGAAAAATGTGATATTTTGTACATATGTTATAGTAATTAATTTGTATTCTGTCAACATTTGACATTCGAAAACTATACCTGTCAATCCCATTGTATTCAATGTCATCCAGAAGCAGATAGGTGAATGCTAAAAGGCTCTATTATTATACACATTTTCATGCAAATTATTTTTTTAATGTATAACAACACCAATTTAGTTTACTATCGTATAAACTATAACAATATAGGTTTTAAATATCAACGAAATTGAATGACAACTTATAGCAAATGATTATATTGCTCGTGGATTTCTGGAGTGGTATATACCTTCATTTCAGATGCATATGCTCGTCGTTCCATGCCTGCCACTGATATAACGAAAATGAAAAAACATTGGGAACAGAAAGGGATGATACATACACCAGATACTGCTAAGAAAGTTGAAAGTAATAAATTTCCAAAGAACAAGTAGATACAAGCATTTACTAATGGAATCAAAGACACTCAAATGATGCAAACAAAATCAAATAATCCAGACTGGCAAGGGATAACAATTTGAGAAATGAGAATTAAAAAAGGACCCACGTTACTGTGCTTACACAGTGTAGAACTTTCAGAGGAAGTGCGTATCAAAAAAAACGCAACAGATTGTTTTCTTGGAAAAGCACAAAACCAGTGATAACAGCATTTATTTCATCCAATGCACCATAAAGCCATGTGTCTCTTCTTTACAATGATATATCATTTATTGATATTTGGTCATGGTTGGGCGAGTAATCATTCCATTTGCAAAGTGGGCCAAAATTAAGTTATAAGCATTGCAAAAAGTCAGTGTACGGAGCCCGGTGCAATATTGGATGAAAACATAAAACCAATGCTGACTGCATCCTTTTAATTCAATGTACCAAATGCCAAATTACTCCTCTTTGTAATGGAATATCATTCATTCACAGGGAGTCATCTCTGGCCGAATAATCATTAATTTTGCAAAGTGGGGCAAAATTCAGCTCGGACCCAAGTTTAAAACATTGCAAAAGTCAGTACAAGGGGCATAGGGGCTATTGGAAGAAGGTGTGACTGGTATGGCATAGACAGTAAAGTGTTCATACTCTTACTCTTGCAAGAAAACATCCTATACCCCTCCAAAGTGCCACCACTTCCTTGCACATAAAGATGCACTCATCTGTCCATGTCATGCATGGTTCAGCCCTGAATCATGTGTGGGTTAAAGCAAAGAAAAGCAGCCCATGGGCAAATCTTTCTCGAGGTTTTGCAATATCTGGTGGAGGAATTGTGAGCACAAATGCTCCTGAGATAGCTCCAAAAGAAAAAGTCACAACAATTCAAGTTAGGGGAACTTCCATTGGCACTTAGCCCTTGCACTGATTTTTTCAATATCTAAAACTTGGTGCAGAGCCGATTTTGACCCACTGTGCAAATGGAAGGATTTCTCACCCAACCATTACCACATGTGAATGAATGACATATCATTGCAAAGAGGAGAGACGTGGCTTTATGGTACATTAAATGAAATTGATGTAGTCATCACTAGTTTTGTGATTTTACTAGATAACTACTTGTTGCGTTTTTTTGATACGCCCTGTATATCCTGATTTTCAAACAAAATTATTGATTTTGATTTGTAGTCTCGAACCTTGAGAAACTTAGATAGCACAGTTTGTGACCTAGTTTGAGGACCTTTCACCTTAAACATTTTACTTGTTCAGAGATTAGTAGGTGATTCAGGTGACGAAAATTTACATCCAAATGATACATTTGGAAAATCAACTTTTTTGACCTTTCGAAGGTCACTGAAGGTCAAATCTCAAAACTAAGGTCAGATTTGAACTCCTGGCAACTTGTAGACGATTTTTCCCAAAATATTTGGTCAAATTGAAGAAAGTTGAAAAATAACTTACTTTTACTGGTTTTTGACGTCAAATACATGTATCTCAAAAACAGTAAAAATTGATGCTGACATAAACCCATGTAAAGCCAATGGGAATATGTAAAACATTTGGAGATGAGTAACAAATTATAAAATTGTACCTGTGTATAAAGTCAGCAAGTAAAACCAAATGTACAAAAATGCAGCCCAAGTAGTAACCACTTTGCCAGTCTTATTCAGAGTGATACCAAACATGTACAGCTAAGGCAAAGAATTATATTATGAATGAATTATGAATTATAATGATATAATAATTTTATTTTTCATAGTAATTATATTCATTCAAATATTTCATTTCAGGTACACAATTGCTATATCTTATGAGTTAATTATTGATAAGGCTGATATCTCTGATAGTGGAAACTATACATGCCAATATCTGAATGAGGTGAATAGCTTACATGAATATAATTGGAAGGAGGTAACAGTATGGGGTAAGATAAGAGTATACCCACAGATATAAACACAATATCATATTCACACGAAATAAAAAGAAAAAATAGAGGCACAACTCGATATTCAAAACAACTTTCAACGTTAAGTTCCACTAATTTGGGCTAACGTGTAACATTTCCAATTAATCATAACTTAATTATGTTTTGGACATCGCAGCATACTGTGATCCACCACGATTGCCCAACCATGCCACCTATAATCCAAAAGAAGAGGTATATGGTGAGGGAAGTGTCGTAACATTCAGCTGTAACGAGGGATACTCATTGTCCGGGAATATTTCAATAGAGTGCATGCCTTCCGGACACGCCAGTAGCTGGTCTGAAGAAACACAAGTTTGTGTAAACGGTAGATATAAGGAAAAATATATATGTTGTATTAGCTTATTCACGATGCCCATGTCAAGCAGCGTGCCTACTAGGCACGCAGTTTGAAACTCTGACAAACTGCGCGCATATTATAAAATGTGAGACAGGGAGGACACGACTCCCAAAAAGAGCCAAAATACGAAAAATACAAGGTTAGTCTCGTTCTAAAGATAGTACCATTCTGTGAAAGATGAACTTAATTTACTCATAGTACTCAATGTTTTTCCCGATGTAAACCTAGTTATCTCAATATAAGGGTCTTAAGTAACTTCTGTGTTCAAAATTTACAGTGTAAAGTTATATCTATGTCTTTTTATCGTCATTTGCCGTTTATTCAGCCATTTTGTCTGTGTATGCTAGAATATATAGGATCCCTCCGCCATCTGATTAAATCAGCAAAGTTTGTGTTCAAAACGATAATACGCCATAAACGTGATTTAAACATTTTTCTTGTCAAACTGCGCGCCTATATTCACATGTATTTCCCAAACTGCGTGCCTAATATTTCCAAACTGCTTGCCTATCCGAGTTTGTTTTGTATTATTAGAAAACATAAGCGCCATACAAGGCACATATGTGTCTAATAGTAGAACCCCATAATTGAAACACTATGAGAGTCCATCCACCAAGATGGTGATCTGAAAATAAAAGTTTTTTTCGTTCCCAACTTAATTGTCACTTCTATTATATATTTTGACTTTCAATATGAAAATCTCATAAAATCTGCCGATAAAGCAAAATTTCCAAAGCTACATGAAAAACACCTACACGTGCCTCTGTAGAAATTCTAATGATAATATGTAGTTTTAATAGTGTATGCGCACAGTTTGTAATTTCTGGCTAAAATAGGCGCGCAGTTTGTGATTTATTTCTTTTTAATCTCCTGATTATCTGTTTTATCTCGAAATATTTTGAATTATACATGATAAATGTGTAAGGAATTAAATATAAAACGAGTCTAAAGTATTTGTCATTTATGTTTAAAGTACTAGATCGATTTATGTACTATATACATTCCCGTTAAATCAGTGACGAAAATGCCATTAATCTGCTTATGTTTTAAAACTTAGATTCATTTGCACATAGTTTTTGCTAGTATTTGCAAGATTCGTATATTCGCCACAGAATGAACGCATTGAACAAGAAAACAATGCAGGATAAATGTCTTTAAATTACGTTTCAAAATACAGACTCCAACTTAAATGCTGCAATGTTCTTAGGCACGCAGTTTGTGATCGAAACAAACTGCGCGCCTAAGTAGGCGCGCAGCTTGACATGGGCACCGTGTTATTGTTCAGGATTCTTAACAGATCGGGAATTCAGTTAATTTTTCAGGGATGTCTTTACATATCTGCATTCATTGCATCACCTCTGCGAAATTGTGTATTTATTAATAGAGAGTGACATGTTATTTCAGAGACGTTTCCACTATGGACATGGATCGCTATCGGGGCTGCAGCAGTGGTCGTTGTCATGTCATGCTTGTTACTTGCTTGTTGTAAGAGTTTCAGAAGGAAGAGACATGAAATGGGACAAAATGACGTTGATTCACCAGCTGGTATTTAGTTTATGTATATCTGATTTACTCTTTATATTGATGCGTTTAACTATATCTTTTCAATCTTGCACATGCAAAGCCAAAAGAGTGAATACAAGAGTATTACAACACAAAGCACGCCGAGGTACCGGTTATGGTATTTTTCTACCTGTAAAGTATTTTCTTATTGAAGGGTCTATAATTTGTTGGATATTTTCAACTCAGCTATTCATTTCTAAATAATTTTTATATTCCAGCTGTTGGCTTAGTTCAAAACGTAGAGTTCATTCAGAGGAAGCCAGGTGAAATTCAAAGTTCCGTTGCTAGAAGAGAAGATACTGGAATATCGGGTGAACCATTGATTCAAATGAACCCGAAATCAACTCCAGAAACTTCTCAGAATCCGACTACAGGTAACAAGAAAAATGTGATATTTTGTACATATGTTATAGTAATTAATTTGTATTCTGTCAACATTTGACATTCGAAAACTATACCTGTCAATCCCATTGTATTCAATGTCATCCAGAAGCAGATAGGTGAATGCTAAAAGGCTCTATTATTATACACATTTTCATGCAAATTATTTTTTTAATGTATAACAACACCAATTTAGTTTACTATCGTATAAACTATAACAATATAGGTTTTAAATATCAACGAAATTGAATGACAACTTATAGCAAATGATTATATTGCTCGTGGATTTCTGGAGTGGTATATACCTTCATTTCAGATGCATATGCTCGTCGTTCCATGCCTGCCACTGATATAACGAAAATGAAAAAACATTGGGAACAGAAAGGGATGATACATACACCAGATACTGCTAAGAAAGTTGAAAGTAATAAATTTCCAAAGAACAAGTAGATACAAGCATTTACTAATGGAATCAAAGACACTCAAATGATGCAAACAAAATCAAATAATCCAGACTGGCAAGGGATAACAATTTGAGAAATGAGAATTAAAAAAGGACCCACGTTACTGTGCTTACACAGTGTAGAACTTTCAGAGGAAGTGCGTATCAAAAAAAACGCAACAGATTGTTTTCTTGGAAAAGCACAAAACCAGTGATAACAGCATTTATTTCATCCAATGCACCATAAAGCCATGTGTCTCTTCTTTACAATGATATATCATTTATTGATATTTGGTCATGGTTGGGCGAGTAATCATTCCATTTGCAAAGTGGGCCAAAATTAAGTTATAAGCATTGCAAAAAGTCAGTGTACGGAGCCCGGTGCAATATTGGATGAAAACATAAAACCAATGCTGACTGCATCCTTTTAATTCAATGTACCAAATGCCAAATTACTCCTCTTTGTAATGGAATATCATTCATTCACAGGGAGTCATCTCTGGCCGAATAATCATTAATTTTGCAAAGTGGGGCAAAATTCAGCTCGGACCCAAGTTTAAAACATTGCAAAAGTCAGTACAAGGGGCATAGGGGCTATTGGAAGAAGGTGTGACTGGTATGGCATAGACAGTAAAGTGTTCATACTCTTACTCTTGCAAGAAAACATCCTATACCCCTCCAAAGTGCCACCACTTCCTTGCACATAAAGATGCACTCATCTGTCCATGTCATGCATGGTTCAGCCCTGAATCATGTGTGGGTTAAAGCAAAGAAAAGCAGCCCATGGGCAAATCTTTCTCGAGGTTTTGCAATATCTGGTGGAGGAATTGTGAGCACAAATGCTCCTGAGATAGCTCCAAAAGAAAAAGTCACAACAATTCAAGTTAGGGGAACTTCCATTGGCACTTAGCCCTTGCACTGATTTTTTCAATATCTAAAACTTGGTGCAGAGCCGATTTTGACCCACTGTGCAAATGGAAGGATTTCTCACCCAACCATTACCACATGTGAATGAATGACATATCATTGCAAAGAGGAGAGACGTGGCTTTATGGTACATTAAATGAAATTGATGTAGTCATCACTAGTTTTGTGATTTTACTAGATAACTACTTGTTGCGTTTTTTTGATACGCCCTGTATATCCTGATTTTCAAACAAAATTATTGATTTTGATTTGTAGTCTCGAACCTTGAGAAACTTAGATAGCACAGTTTGTGACCTAGTTTGAGGACCTTTCACCTTAAACATTTTACTTGTTCAGAGATTAGTAGGTGATTCAGGTGACGAAAATTTACATCCAAATGATACATTTGGAAAATCAACTTTTTTGACCTTTCGAAGGTCACTGAAGGTCAAATCTCAAAACTAAGGTCAGATTTGAACTCCTGGCAACTTGTAGACGATTTTTCCCAAAATATTTGGTCAAATTGAAGAAAGTTGAAAAATAACTTACTTTTACTGGTTTTTGACGTCAAATACATGTATCTCAAAAACAGTAAAAATTGATGCTGACATAAACCCATGTAAAGCCAATGGGAATATGTAAAACATTTGGAGATGAGTAACAAATTATAAAATTGTACCTGTGTATAAAGTCAGCAAGTAAAACCAAATGTACAAAAATGCAGCCCAAGTAGTAACCACTTTGCCAGTCTTATTCAGAGTGATACCAAACATGTACAGCTAAGGCAAAGAAAAGATAATTGGCTTGATTGCCTTGAATTCACTGGGCTATTGAACTGTACAATAAAATTGACTGGTTTGCTTCAAAAGCATTGAAAGGCTAATGTTTTTAAACCATTAAAGGGTGATGTTATTAAAACAAGGGTTACATACTTCCCCTGGTTAAAATAAAATTTGCACCTGCAATTTACTCATTGCAGAAAATGTTTTAAAATATAATGTTATTTACAATAGAGAATACAGTTACTAAACTGTTTAAAATTAAACATGTATATGATGATAATATTTTCATCATTACAAGTAACATAGATGTATGACTCATCATCATGCAGTTTGATGTGTTAAAGCACTTTGTGAAATCTTGGTAACATCAAGATTTATTTTGTAGCTTATTCATAATATATCCAAGTGAATTTTTATATTCACCGGTAGACAAATAGGAGTATATCCTCATCAAAGAAAAACAGTTTGATAAGTTTTTATAGGATAAATTCTGATAATTCATTTTGGTCAGAATTTATGAGTAATATACTGTAGTTTCATATAAAACGTTCACGGGAGTTTTTGCGGTAGGTTCTGAAAAAACGGAAGTTTTTACGGTAGGTTTTGAAAAAACGTGAGTTTTTGCGGTAGATTTAAAAAAAACAGGAGTTTTAACAGTAGATTTCTGAAAAAGCGGGAGTTTTTACGGTAGATTTCTGAAAAAAAACGAGATTTCTACAGTAGATTCTGAAAAAACGTGAGTTTTTACTGTAGATTTCTAAAAAACGGGAGTTTTTACGGTAGATTTTGGAAACAACGGGAATTTTTACGGTAGATTTATGAAAAACGGGAGTTTTTACGGTAGATTTTGAAAAAACGGAGTTTTTACGGTAGATTTAGAAAGAAGGGAGTTACATGCGCAGTTAATAAATTAATTAGAACTTATAATCAAAGATAGATGCCACTTACGTTCATTATTTCACAGCAGTCCCTACCCATATTGCGCCTTATATTGCGGGAAAATTTTGTTTAGCGCCATATAAAAACAAAATGTATTCTCCCGACAGAAGTATGACAGAATATGAACTGGCCCCCGTTTGTGGATCGACATAAGTTGTGCAAACGTATACCGAACTGATCGCAGAAAAGCAATTTGAATCATGGGAATGAAGTACTTTTAAGTTATTTATGAAAGTATCGATAGTGAACCATGGGAGCCAATCCTTCTTGGAGTAAAAGAAAGAAGCGTGCCTGCAATAATCAAGGTCACAAATTTGTCAAATTCCTTTTAAATACGGTAGATTTCGACAGCAAAAACGGAGATTTTACGGGAGTTATACCAAGAATACGGGAGATTTTACGGGAGTTATACCAGAAAACGGGAGCTTTTATGGGAGTAATACCAAGAATACGGGAGACTTTACGGGAGTTATACCAGAATACGGGAGATTTTACGGGAGATTTCAGCAAAAATACGGGAGATTTTAGGGCCATATTTTAAAAAAAAATATGGGAGATTTTAGTAGAAATACGGTACGGGAATTTACGCGAGTTTTTACGGGAGAAAACGGTACGGGAGTTTGGTATTTTTTACGTAAAACAAATTTACGGGAGATTCCCGTAAAAAACGGCAGGTTGGCAAGTCTGAGTCGAGTATATCCTACTTTCCTATACTGGGGGTCATTAACATACTGAACATCACTCATATCCGAATCTCTCGGGTTGTCTTCTCACTCTGTGAGAACGTCTTGGGTGGATAGGAGAAGATGTCTCAGATGATGATTCTGATGTTTCTGGAACTTGTTCCCTTATATTGGTCAAACATACATCTGAATCTGAACTGGAAAACCAAGAAGATTTCCTTGATAAAGATCGAGAAATGTCAGAAGAGTGCTGTGTAGTTAATTATTTTACACATTTGGATTTTTTCGAGGTTTGTAGCACTCCTGTACATTTTTCTCAATCGGTAAAAACCACATGGTAACAACATATTTCTGTGTAGTGTTCTTGGTTCACCTTTACCATCTTGGCGTTTGACGACCAAGACTGAATTACCCAACATTTTGATGACCACGTAAATGTCAGGAGACCACTTGTTTGCAAATTTTCTTTTCCCTCTTAAGCCAACATTCTGGACAAGGACCCTATCATTTAGCTATCGTGGTAACTGTTTTACTCTCTTATCATACCTATCCTTATTGAGTTTTTTTTTATTTTACTGACATTCCCATTCACTATCATATGCAGTTTTTAGGTCAGACTTTAGATTGGACACATATTTGTGCATTGACTCCAAATGTTCACTGGAATTTATTCCTAGAAGAGTGTCAATAGGTAAGATAGGTTGACGACCAAACATGAGCTCAAATGGAGTAAACCCAGTGGAATCATTCTTTGAGCAGTTATATGCATGACATAGAACCTTTACATGTTGGGACCACCTGAATTTCTTGACATCATCAAAAGTACCGATTATATTCAACAATGTGCAGTTAAAACGTTCCGTTTGCCCATTTCCCTGTGGATAGTAAGGGGTTGTGAAAGTCTTGTCGACACCTGTCAATCTACACAATTCTTTGATTATTTTACCAGTAAAATTGGCACCACGATCAGAATGGAGACACCAGGGCAAACCAAAATTCAAGAAAAAATCTCTAAAAAGGATATCAGCAACAGTCTTTGCGGTTTGTGTTTTAGTGACAATTGATTTTGAAAACCTTGTAAAATGATCGGTTATCACCAAAATGTTTGTTTTATTTGAGTCATCAGGGTCAACTGTCAAAAAATCAATGCAGACTAAATCCATTGGACAGTTAGATGAAAGATGCTCCACTGGGACTGCGTTGGGAATCTTTGTTTTACGCAAAATGCAGTTCGTACATAGTTTGATAAAGTCTGTGACATCATTTATCATTCGAGGCCAGTACATTCTTTTCTGAACAAGATCCAATGTGCGTTCTATACCAAAATTGCCCATCTGATCATGGACGGATTTCAATACAACATTGTGGAGGACCTGGGGAAGAACTATCCTTTTGTATGTTTTACCACCAAGTTTAGAAACCTTGTACAGAATACCTGATTGAACGATCAGACTTCCCATGTGTCTTAACATTGCTATGACATTTGGACATTCTGCTTTCCTTTGGAAAGAATTTAGACTCACATCATTCTTTATGATGTAATTGACTCTGCCAATATCACTGTCTAAATCCTGGATATGAGATACATCTTTACCTATTGAAGGTAAACTTTCAAGAAAATATAGGTATTCATCAACCTCAACAGAATTGTGACATGGTGGGAACCCATCCCCTTCCAAAACTGCATTGATGATGACAGAAGGATCACACCGCTCGACAAACTGTTTAACAGTTTC